CTGGATTCATATGTTGACAGCTTTTCACAAGTTCTTTGGCATGACCCTTTGTGTGCTGTTCCAAAAAATGTAAACGATCACAGCTGTTAGTTGTGTTCCTCTCAACTCCATTCTCAAAAGCTTTAATGAACGTGTGGTATTTTAATGGATCACCATCATAAATTGGGATTTCTCTCTTAGGTAGGGCTGAGAGGCATTGCTGTTGCATTAGCAATGTTGTTATATCGTTTTGTTTCCTCATGATGCCAAGAACGTCATTGCTGGTTTCCAGATCCACTCCTTGTTGTCCATGTAAGTCTTGTGTGTTGAATGGGCTCATATGAAGTTGCATTTGGTTTTGTTCATATGAAGTTGTATTCATGGTTTTATTTGTTTCAGTTTGTTTTGGAATAAATTCATCTGCATTGACATTGAGTGACTGTTTAGCTTGTGCCTTTTCAAAATATGATTTCATTCCATCCGAAACTTTTGATGTTCCTTTTCCACTTGTTGTGCTTTTTGTCTTGAGAATTTGAAGTGTTGCCATTTTTTCTGCAATTTCAGTATTCAGTTTGAGCTCTTCTCTTCTTTTGCGCAGGCGTTGTTCCTCTTCTTCCAAAGCGTGCTTTTCCTTTAATAATTTGTGCCTCATGGTTAAGGCTGCCAGCTCGGCTTCTGCCATTAAACGTGCAGAAGAGGTTGAAGAGCATTGTGACTGAGATGTTTTGTGGCTTCCAACATTTGAAACACTGTCGCTTGGTTTAATGTCATCCTCATTTTCATTTGCTTCATTAATTTCCACAGAAAGTAATGGTATTTCTGGTGAATCCTGTTGTTTCTGAGAAATTCTTTGTTCAGTTTCAACAATCCATTTTTCAGTGTCCTTTTGAAATGTATTGCTGTAGCTCATAATGCTTGAAAACCATTTCTTTTGTTTATTGAGTTCATCCTCCGAAAGTAGAGGCAACAGTTCATTGTGTGAGGTTGTAGCACTTTCACAAAGTGTATTTATATCCCCCAAACATTGTTTCACTTGAGACACATTTTCCCTTTGTTTCATGAACCTTTTCATTTGTGGTATCAACCCTTTAATTTTGTCCACAACACGTTTACGTTCATTTTGCAGGCTTTCAATTTTATTCAACAGAGCTTTTTCAGTGAGTCTCCTCTCCCTTTTCCCAGACTCCATCTCAGAGCACGAGGCACCGTCATTTGTTTGACTCATTTTTTTTCATTCAGTTTCAGCGAACTGTGACATTTAAATCCATCCACAATGCACAATCAATCAGAGCAATTCATTTCAACGAGGCATCATCAGCGTTCCTCCTTGTAACATCATAAACTTTCGCATACACAAGCAACAAAGCACAGGCGTCATTCAGCGCACGGAGCAAACATATGCACAGACATCGCATATCCGACCAGCATCCCTTTGTTCAACTGTTCCAAACGGAGACACTTCGACATTGATGCAATCCGGATTCCTTCTCCACCCACATACATGCACAGGTAAGCTTACCTGTCCTCCATGACGGATGTGATGTGGCGCTTTGTCTTTGTTTGACACCGCTGTACTTACTGAGCGTCCCGTTGATGCCTTTGCGCTGTGAGCGGTCGCTTTCTTGTTGCCTTTTTTGTTGACAATTATAACGACTTGCCTGTCATTAAAGTCGTTTGAGAGGATGAGGTCCTGTATGTTTGTGTGACGCGCTGCTGCTGGTTCATAAGCACGCTGAGTCCAGGAAGGTTTCAATCATTTAATACTTAAAAACATCACAGCTACTTCAGCGGCTTTCAGGTTACACACGCCTAAAGGATGGTAAACGTGCACTGGCGGCGAATATGTAACAAAGCAATGAACTGAACAAAGGAGATCAACAAAAAATGCGGCTACCTACACTCCTCTCTCACCTCCCCCGTGCAGGTAGACCAGCTCCCTATATCACCTACGGCAATCATCCCCAGTGCCCACGTGACCCAAGCCCTGTGCATCATCGTGGCAACCAGACCAAACAAATCAAGAGACGAATAATCCACCAGTGACACAATACGGCTCCTACAATCTCAATGAGTCTTTTCCTGGTTAAATAAAGATTAAATAAAAAAAAGTACATATATGTACATAATATCAAGTCTCTGATCACGGCCAGACGATATGTGCACGATAACACGCACATCGCATCCATCATAACTACCTTACGCCATTGCTGTGGAGCTTTGGTGACCCCTAATGGAAGTGGGATCTCCAGGGTGGGAACCAGTGGTCTAGCACATAACCCTGTAAAACTATAACACTGCGATTTGGTTTGGTTTAACCTATGAATGGCCACTGCTTTCCAGTCTTTATGCTAAACTAAGCTACGCTAAAGTAAGCTAAGATAGGCACGTCCAGGCTGTAGCTTCATGTCTAGCATACAGACATAAAAAGTGGGAGTGTACTGTTTTTCTCATCTATAGGAGAAAGTGAAAAAGTGTATTTACCAACATGTTTATCTGTGTTTAAAGTGGCAAGTAGGTTAAATGTTCTGCCATTTTGTAGCTGACTGAATTCACCTTGTGTCATACCTCCTAACTAAACTCTGGCGCTTGTGGACTTCTGTGTTTAACGTCCAAGCAGGTGAGAGGGAAGGTTTTGGGTGAAAAACAGGACTTAACTCTCACATTAGCATTATCGTTTTCTAAATGTATCTTTTAATGGACTCTCCCATGTGTTCTGTATGTTATCATTTTTAAGTGGCTCAGGCCTCTGTCTTCTTTAAAAGCGTCTCAGTCACAGAGCCAGCAGCTCTGCAGTCCTAAGCTGCGCCAGATGGAAGAGCATCGGTGCAAGCCCACAGCAGACTGTGAGGATCTAGATTACCTCATGTGCAGATTCAAAATGATCCAAAAGTAATCATTGCAAATGCAATTAGCCATTGAGGGCTGGCAAAGTAGTACGCTTGATGTCATTTCAGACAGGCTTTATACGAGCCTAATATTACACACTACCCCATCAAATGAGGCCACTGACGGAACACTATGTACATTTTTGTTATCTGTTTAAATCCACAACACATTAGAAGGGTGGAAAAACTGATCAGATCATTCGCACTTCCGTTGTACGGCAGATGGGTGTGATGCAAGAGCTAAAATGATGAGATTAGAAAACAAGTTCAAATTAGCTACTTGGTGCAATAAAGAAGCTAGCATCACAATAAAAGCTGTAATCAGCATCAGAACGAGCAAATAAATGAGCAGAGGAATCAGAGGGAGACATGCTGTGTCGTCTGAGACTAAAACTGATGTGTTTAGAGCCTGGTTGTAGTGGCCCAAAATTGGACACACCGGAAATGTTTCTTTGCCAGTCTCAAATCAAGAATTTAAACCAGAGCCATAAATATATGTAGACAATGGGCAGATTATGAGACAATAATGGGCCATTCAGCACAGATAAGCAAAGGGCTCTACCACCTCTCCTGCACAGGAGAAAGACACACACACTTTGTTGTGGTTTTATGTCTCTTTGAGGTAATTTTGTGTCTTATTGTGGTAATTTGATGTCTTTTTTTGTTGTTTGTATCACTTTGTTGTCATTTTGTGTTTATGTGTCTCTTTGTCTTTGCGTCTCTTTGTTTTTGTGTCCTTTTATAGTCTTTGTGTCTCTTTGTTTTTGTGTCCTTTTATAGTCTTTGTGGACTCTTTGAGCTATTTATGTGTGTTGTGGCAGTAATTTTGTGTCTCAGACATAATTTTGTGGTCGTTTTGTGTCTTTGTATAGTCTTTTTAGTGTTTTAGTGTTTTGAGGTAATTTTGTGTCATAAGGAAGTAATTTTTTGTCTGTTTGAGATCATTTTGTGTCTCTTGTGGTCGTTTTCAATTGTTTTGTAATGATTTTGTGTCTCCTTGTTGTTAGTTTGTGTCTATTTCTGGTCGTTTTGTGTCTCCTTATGGTTATTTTGTGTCTCCTTGTTACTTCTTGTCTTTTTGTAGTTGTTTTGTGTCTTTTTTAGTCTTTTTGGGCTCTTTGAGGTAATTTTGTGTCTCTTTGTGGTCGTTTTCAATTGTTTTGTAGTGATTTTGTGTCTCCTTGTGGTTATTTTGTGTCTTTTTTTAGGCTTTTTTGTCTCTTTGAGGTAATTTTGTGTCTTAAGGAAGTCATTTTGTGTCTCTGTGATCATTTTCAATTGTTTTGTAGTGATTTTGTGTCTCCTTGTGATTGTTTTGTGTCTTGTTGGGGTCATTTTGGTCTCTTTGAAGCAATTTTGTATCCTCTTTAGTATTTTTGTATTGCTTTGTATTGTATTGTGGCTGTTTTGTGTCTTTTTGTCATTGTCTCAATCTCTTTGAGGTAACTTTGTGTCTTATAGCAGTTATTTTGTGTCTTCTTGGTTGTTTTGCATCACTTTCTAGACATATTGTGTCTCCTTGTGGTTGTTTTGTAGTCTTTTTGGTGTCTTCTTTGTCTCTTTGTGGTCGTTTTGAATTACTTTGTGGTGATTTTGTGCCTCCTTGTGCTTATTTTGTGTCTCTTTGTAGTCGTTTTGGGTGTCTTGAGGTAATTTTGTGTGTTTTTTGGTAGTTTTGTATAACTCAAAGTCATTGTGAATCTTCTTGGGGTCATTTTCTGTGTCTTTGTGGTTGTTTTTGGCTCTTTGCAGTTCCTTTGCAGCTCTTTTTCTGGCACTTTAAGCTGCATCTCAAGGTCTTCATCAGTGGATAGAGTTTTCTCAGTTGTCATGTCAACCATGACAACTGAAATCATTTCAATTTTTTATAATGAATATGCTCAAATGAACTAATGCTAAATTTCTTGTATATTTCTCATCATCATTAAATAATCTCACATCTGATAAACACTTAATGGCAACATGCTTTGCTGCTATAAAATAAATACATAAAATACAAAGAATTCAAGTGATGTCGGCATGTTCTGTGAAGATTACGAGGCATATTAATGTATTTAAAATAACCTGGCTGCAGCATTACGATTGCTGGGTCATTTTGTCAAAGCTCTGAGGGTCATAAAACTAAAGAAGCATCAGTTATTTTCACTACTTTATTCACAGACAGATTTCATGATTTCATCAGCAGACAAAATATACAGATCAAAGTTGGTTTTGTTTGACTAACGTATCGTATAATATGCTCCCTTTCAGTAGTACTGACTTTAATCCAGTCTCTGACTCTGGACTAAGGCTTAAACGTTGTTTTACAAAACATTCTAACAGTGCTGTTTTTTCTCTTATAGATAAACACATGCAAGTGGAAACAAAGACATCTTTTTTAAAAATGATTCACAAAGGCATTGATGAAGACTGCACTAAAAAAAAAGAAGAAAAGAGAATAGCAGATGACAAATAAGCAAATTCAAAATAAATACAGGTGTTAAGCGGTTTCAATCATGATGAAATAATATACAAAAAAAGTAAATGCAGTCTAATGCCTGACCTTCTCGAACATGTAGAAAATGAAAAGTAGAAAGGGGAGTGAGGAAGCAACAGGCAAGCAAGAGGATAAAGATGCAAGCAAGCAACTAGTCATCAGCAGTTACATGTTTATATTACAGAGAACATGAGAAAAAAAAGATAATCATTTAAATCTATGGACAATGTTTGCTCTGATAAGCAAGGCTTCATGCTCTGCACAGATGATTGTGTCAGTAGAACTAAGGGACACAAGGTAACCTCCAGTGCAGGAGAGAAAAAAAAAACAAGTGCAGTCTCCTTGACGACACATGGAGACCGTCATCTCCCCCAACGACAGTAACCGTCATACAAATCCCCAGAGGAAGAGGAGAGGTCTTGAAATTCTAATTCATTAATGGCTAAAGCACTTTGCTACAAGGAAAATCCTGTGATAGAACCAGCAGTTTATATTGCATCGCACTTCAGGGTAAATATTATTTGAGGGAATTGAAAAAAAAAAAATATAGTTATTGAAATGAAATAAAATCTTTTACGACATCAAACCGAAATCACAAGTAAAGTGCAACTCAGACATGATCAGGTCCACAGGAGGATGCTACAGTGGCTGGGGTGGTGACTGAAGATGTGCCTTTGGGTGGGTGGGATGACACGGATGGCCGTTCTGTTTACTCCTCCTCGCCTTCACAGATAGTCGTCTCCACCACAAATGTATTCTCAAAGTGACGGATGTGGTGGCAGTCCTTCGCCTCACGCTTGTTGATGCCTGAGACGGAAACGGGGTGAGACAGAGAGAGTGAACCAGTGACGTGACTTAATCTGATCGCAACAGTTTAACACAAGAAAGTTCCCTCTATTCATTAAAATAAAAACACAGACAGCACCACCGTCTACCATGAGCCTCTTAAAATGTTTCCATTGATCCCTCCATTAACGCCAACTTACGTCTGCGGGTGACACGGCGGTTCAGGCGGTACGTGTCCTTCCCGTTGCACAGGCGGTAAATGAAGGGTCCCAGCTGACGCATGTTGTGCACTCTGCCTGTCACCACCATCTCTTCATGGATGATGTAGGTCTGAGGCAAGTATGTTCCCTTCTGCAAGAGATGGAGGAACAATAACAACAATCTCACAGGAATAGGTTTTCCAACAGAAACACTGAGAGGCCGAACAGAGCAAACACTGACTGCACTGGACGTGTTCACATCACAGCTTAACAGTGCTGACGTTTGAGGGAGTGAAGAGCTGGAGAGAACTTATTAGCCGTGTCACTCCATCCAATTTTATTTAAGCCTTCTCAAAGTATAAACTGCACCACTAAAGACTTTGGTTTATAGGAAGGATTCAGCTGTGTCAATGCATTGTCCTGTAAGGGCTGTTCATTTCTTATAAGGAGAGAAGGGGTGGTGCAAGAAAGCAGGAGGCATGTCAAATAATTTTTAAGCACTGGGGAGGGACTATGTTTTTTATTTTGGCTCAGAGGAGGTGCAAACAAATTTAAATGGCTGTATTTTGTATTTAGTTTTAAAGAAAGCAAGTGCCTGTTTTCTTTTCTTTTTTTTTTTTTTAAATGCCAAAATTACACCATTAATCACAGCCAGAAACTGTAAAAACAGAAATTATTGTTGGATTTTCAAATATCTGTTGGTCCTTGAACACATCATGTGCAATAAATGCTCCATCAGAAAAAAAGAGAAAAAAAAACATAACCAAATCTGAGCTTAAAACAGTGGTAGCTCATCAAAATCAAAAATAAAAATTATATATCTTTTTAATATTTTGTCATCATTATTATTATTATTATTATTTGTTTCTCTCTTTTTTTTTACCTTTTTCTTCTTTTTTATTTTGAATCACTTCATTCATATTTTCTTACTTTCTATTATTGTTGTTATGCCTCCCCCCATGTGATTAATTTCACCTATGTACTCTGCTATGTACTGTTAAATAAGAAAAGTAATAAAAAAATCATTCACAAAAAAAAGGCCAAAATAAACCATTTGCACTACTCCACGATCTCATCTTCAACTTTTACCATTAAACATCAAAGGGTAACTACTCTCGAATAGAGGGAGGGTTGCACACTTTCCACCAGTCACTGCTTATCTTTGGGGAGAGTAAAAAATAAACAAAAACAAAACAAACAAATAAAAAATAGTAAAAAAAAAAAGTAAAGAACAGTCCCTAAATGACATTTCCCCCCTTTTAATGACACTGTTTTAAAGTATACTGTGCAGGAAAAATGTATATACAAAAGTAACACCTCTCAGTACTCACTTATGGCCCACTATAAGTGTGTGGCAGTGTATTTTTCTCTAGAGACTCTGCCCTCTGCCTGTATTTTCTTATTTTCTTCTTCCTCTCTGTGTTCAGGATGTTTATGGGCGTTGTCCCTCAAAGCACTCAGGTCAGGTCGGGGCATTTTTAGCATGGTTTGTGGTTTGGTTAAATGTTGTTCTGTATTTTTGTTTTTATGTGAAACAGTTAACACCCTGGGACTTAGGACAAACTGTAGAATTTCTCTGATAATAAAGTGTAATCATGCTGCTACTAGCAGAGTGCTAATGAGGATAACAGGAAGAAAAACAGACCATGGACAGACACCAAAATTTACTATCTGTTTGGTGGGCGAAATGATGGCCCTCTATTTTCTCATGCTTCAGCACTACAAAGCTGCATCACAAGCGTAGCTGCGCAGTTACTGACGCCTACATCGTTACCACAACAGACAGGCTGACCTGATCGCTTGCAGATAACCGTGCACACAGTCTGCCTCAAAGATCTGATTTCAGATATCTGATTTGCCTGCAGGTGCAGGGTGAGCGCAGCCTCAGATGGCAGCTGTGTTACCTTGACATTGATAAGCAGCTCCCAGAGGTTGCGTGGTGGCATCACGATGGTGGTGTTGAGCTCAATGACGTAGCACTTGTCCAGAGCGATGTCGTGGTAGGCGGTCAGTCCCTGGAAAATAAAGCAGTTTATAAAAGGTCGACTGCAGACAAGTGCTTAGGGGTATTTTGTTTTTCTAATATCATGTGTTGACAGTGTATTGTAGAATGATCTGAGTCATTATAGAAATGTTAATGGTAGAGCTCTGAAGATGGCGAAGTTGCCATTTGATTCAAGTTGATTGCCTTTAAGATCTGTACGGATATCCAAGATCCCCAAAGATAGGTAATCTGCTATAGTTTCATCTAGCACCATCAAGTCAAAGTTTCAGTTTGTCCAATACTTTGGCTTATGGTAACCATGACACCTGCTGAACAGCTGTATATTAGCAGTGTCACTAGATGTTAGCATCCTGATGTTAGCATTAGGCTCAAAGCACCGCTGTGCCTGAGAGCTATTAGCAAGACTGTAGACTGTGGTCTTTTGTGTTTTATATCCAACTTCATATTCCTTCTCTTTTTCTGTAATTAGTTTAAAGTGGGCTATTAGAGATTTAATAGGGTACTTATGGTGTTCTGTATTCAAGCTGTATATGTCAGATGTGTGTTTGTCCTCACTCTGTGGAAGTCGTGGATTATATCAGCGGGGTCGCTGCCTCCAAAGTGAGGCACGGGCACAGTGATCTTCTCGTAGTTGTCGGCCAAGTAGATGCCAACATTTTCCTCCAGCTCCTGGCGCCCACGCAGTGGGGCATATACGGAGTCTTCATACAGTATGCTGCAGTGGAACATGTTATCCTCTGGGATCTGCACACACACAAACATATTAGCATCTGGATCATAACACCAGCGGGAACACTGGGGAACAAGTCTATAGCAAGAATATCCTTCTGTTACAGCAGTGACATTTTAAAAACTAAGGATGTATTTCATTTATGGACACGATATTTGAAGCTGAGACACATACAATGCTCAGTAAAGTATAATCAGGTCTTACATGAGGTATAAAGTAGTAGCGGTAGACATAAATGGAGGCAAGGACCAGACCGGCCATGAACACGACCAGGCCAAACGTCAGGCAGCAGAGGCCGTTGAGGGGAGACTTTTTGGGCCGCAGTGGCAGGACCAGCTCATCCTCATCCTGGAAAACACACACACACACACACACACACACACACACAGTCATTAATACTTCAAATAGGCACAGAAAAGCATTTCCAGACAGCTTCAATCCAACTTCCAGCTTACTCATCTTCACCGTGACAAGCAGCTGAGAATGACCCAAATTAACTAACTGCTAAAATAGAAGCTCACATTAATGGCGACGCAGCATCTCAAGCAGGAATTAGTAGAGCTGAGCCCGGCTAGAGGAAAGGATGACGGAAAGCTCGGTTATGAAAAGTTGACTGAGATGGTGAGTAATCTCTCCAGACGCCTCCAGTCTCGCAGTCCATCTGCCGGAGCCACGCGCCCAACCTGCGTTGGCAGGGTGGCACTACACTATAGTAGCCACTCGCTGTGCGCTTCCATTTACAAATATAATGACTAACAGACGAGTGCTGTACCGTACAGAGAGTGCCGTAAGCATTCGGCAGGTAAAATTATCTCCTGGAAAAGTGACTCTGCAAAATAACAACAAAGGTTCCTATTGTGAGCTGGAGAATGGAGTATTGTGTGTGTGTGTGGGGAGCAGCTGTTGTACGAAACTTAAAAGAAAAATGTTCCATAATTTTAAAAAGGAGATGACACAGAAAGCTAAAGAGCAGTGGCTTCTTTCTTCTCTTTGCAGAACACGTTGTATACTCCGCATTTAATACTAGGACAGCATCTTATCTTGCGTGTTTTCATTGTCATCACAGTTCAGTGTGCTGTTCTTTGTGGAAGCATTTGGGAACAGAGGGTGCATGAGGACAAGGCGACAACTGTGCAAACACACTTTTGTGAGACTCAGATCTTTGTGTTCTCCCACCCCACTGAGAGAGACAGATACAGGCTCTTTCACACCAGCTGAGAGCGTGACACACCATGAGGCCTGTGCGTCTCCTGTTCTGTACATTTGGATGAACAGATTTCAAAGTCACACAGCCTCTCCAGCTCTGCACTTCTGCTATAGCCACTTTAAATGCATGCCTGTGATGTCATATCTATATTCCATTATGGCTCATCATCTTCGGGGCTCACTCATGTATCTTTGATAAAGGGCTGAGGCCATGCTGGGATGCTGCCACTGCAAAGTTGAGGACTCCGACCGGCGCTCTTCCTCATTTAGAGCTGTGAAAAATAATCTTGCATGCGCTGCAAACCACAGCAGCCCATCTGCCATTTTGTCAGCCAAAGCTCGTGCATTTCTTGCACTCAACCTTTTTTTTTTTTTTTAAAGCTGTGGTTTATTTAAATCTGCATTGAAGGAAACCAGAGGCCATGTCAGATATAAATACAAATCTTTTACATAATTGCTTTTTGCTGGTAATCCTCCATACAGTCCTGAACAAAAGAGCATGTATCTGCACATTATAATTACTTACATCCTGCCTGCAATAAGCTCACTGGCGCAGAGGAAAGCATCGCAGCAATGTCATGAATTGTTCCCAACCAAATGGCGATAGATGCTGTCAAAAATCCCCTGCTGCCGCTCATGGCTGTGCAGGTGCAGGCTGCCCCGCAGAGCAGCCAGGCAGCAGAGCAGCGCACAGCAGGCATCACATTACACATCATATAAAGACGACACCCACGAGCATTACAATTATTATCATTAATAAGAGAAATAACAATAAGGGCCCGCGTCTCTCACCATAGGATGAGGGATGAGGATCTCGGTCTTTTCGCCATCATTCTCCTTCTCCACTTTCTGTCCCGCGACAGACTGGAAACTGATCTTCACCATGTCTCGGTGTGTCTGTGTGTGTGTCTGTCTGCAGGTGTCTCACTCTTCGTCTGCGGTAACGATGGCTGGCCACCTTTCTGAAACAAGAGTCCCTCGCCTCGTCCTCCTCTCACCGCTGGGCTGCTCCTCAATCTGTTTTTGTCTGTATTTATCTACCGGAAGTGAGCAGGGGTTTTTTTTCTTCTTCTTGTCTTTTCTTTATTTTTTTTTTCAATAACCGCCCTTAAAGGACTAGTGCGGTGTTTTTCGTTCACAGAGATATCCTCCTGACACAAGAACTTTTGTTTGTGTGCATTTTTAATTTCTCCTAGCTATTTGGGATCAGTAGGACACAATAAGTATAAAAAAAACCTTAACACTGTCAATGATAATAAAGTCCCAAAGTCTTCAAAAGAGTCTTAGCTTGTTACTGTTGCTAATATTGGTCAACTTTGTTGCCATATCAAACTACAAACATTATTTATCTTAAATAAACAAGTTTCAACCATAAAATGTGATCAGGTTTAGGACCTTGTCCACTTTTGTGTGGGGATCGGCTGCAGACTTGGCAGAGATGGCCGCCATCTTGTTAAAACATGGATTGGTGTTTCTCAATCAAGTACGCCAAGTTTGGACTTGCACACTTGGGAGTTCGGACTTGGCAAGTTCGACTCTGAGAGTACAAACTCCCAAGGGCAGCTGCCATAGAGTGTGCCAGTAAATCCGGAACTCCATTAGCGCTTTTAGCACTTATGGTTCTCTTGTCCAAAAGTCAATACGTTTTTTGAATGGGATTTTGGTAAAATGCCTCAAATAAAGTCTGTAGTTAACAAAAACTTAAGAGAGTTTCAGGTTTTGTTCTACAACAAAAAACAAGTCAGTAAATACCCTACTTGTGAATTTTGAAGCTTTTACGTGCCGTAAAAAAGGCGGTTGCTAACAAGTTGCTCAATACGACTACAAACCCTGTCGGGGACAGTAAACGTCATCACCCCCGAACAGGCGAGAGTGCTGGCAGTCCGCCATTACAGCTTCTTATTTAGCTTAAACAGTCCAATTTTTCCATTATACAATGTTTTTAAAATAAAGCAGCCGAAATCAGTTGAAAGCTTAGTGGCGGTGACGTCAAGAGTCATGCGACCGTGGAGTATCATGTAGTCCGTTAAAGCCTAACGTTAGCTTTTTACTTCTGGCGATCACATTTAAGCTTCAAATGCGGTATGAAATGTGTTCATATGTGAAGATTATTTCGCTGAACAAAACCTGTAAGTATCATAAACTTGTGTTAGCCACAGAGCTTATTTTCTGACATAATCCAAAACGCAATGCAAAAATCACATTCACTTTCTCTTCCGGGAACCAGCACAATGCTAAACTTCAGGGTTTTGACGTCAGCCCTGGCACACTCTATTACCGCTGGTCTGTGTGAGCATTCTGGGATACCTGGCTGTCAAAAGTCCACACAAGTCACCTCTCGATGCATCCTCGCTGGAACGGGCAGAGCAAGTTCACATCCAGGCGTTTGGACTGTACTTGGCTGGATGCGGACTTTGAATTGGAACAGTACTTGGGCTGCCACTGATGACGTTTCACAAGTCCACAAGAACACAACTACAGGCAAGAATGCAGATTGAGAAACGCCTACAGTGTATTTTGCTCTGACTACCACTAGATGGCAAAAAAGTGTCCACGAAGGAGGACAACAGGTCTAAAATTAAGAAGGGCAAGTAAACCATAGATAGATAGATAGATAGATACACTTGCACAGTCATGAACTGAAAAAGAAACAGCTGTGCAGGAGGCTTAAAACTGGGTGAGGAATGTTCAATTAAACACAAGAAATTTGTGCTCCAGAGAAAGCATCATCACTCAGTGAAGGACCTCCTAAGCCCTATGATAAGCTATTATGGCAACTATACAGACCAGTGAGCAGTGATGACTAATACGTCTCTGGGGTCATCAGGTGGGGACCTCCTTTCACCAGTGTGTCGTCTAGTTGGTCCCACGACACCTCCAGGAGGCTAGACAGTGATCTCTGGCGTCCCAGAGACACTCCCCTAATGCCAGGTCTCACTGCTCCCCACACTAACCGAACAACCTCCTTTATCTTACCTATGTTACCACATGGCTTTGACTGTGCCGAACAGTCAAGCTCTGCCACCAAGGTGAGGTTGTGGAAGACCGTCTCATGTCACAGGTCACACACCGTGACAAGACTGAGCACAGAAGCAAGACACAGGGTGCTTATACTGCTGCATCAGCGAGGTCTCTCCCAGGCAGAGACTTCAAAGCAGACTGAGGCTTCAAGATGTGCTCAAGCTTATTTGAAGAAGCTCAAAGAAACGGGCAGTGCTGAGGACTGTAGATGCAGTGATTGGCTGAGGAAAATTAGTGCAGCAGATGAAAGGGGTTCTGGTCAGAATTAATGGTGTTCTCAATGCTAAGAAATACAGGCAGATGCTTGTCCATCGCCATCACAACCCCAAACATACAGCCAATGTCATTAGGAACTATCTTCAGCGTAAAGAAGAACAAGGAGTCCTGGAAGTGATGGTATGGCCCCCACAGAGCCCTGATCTCAACATGCATGCGGCTGTTACTTTTAGGAGGTATTACTGGTCAGCATGTTAAAAATGTAACAGGTAACACTAATGTGTCTAATTTAATTACTTCCTCAGAGTAATATAACCCATTACATTTGATTACTTTTCTAATAAATGTTTTGAACTGAGCAGTGGAGGTGAAAATGCCCAGAAATAGGTCATGCCAAAATAACATACTCCCATACGGCAAAAAGATGCAAAGCAATTCAATTAGTCACCCGGGCTATTATTTCTTTCTCTATATGGACAGGTCTTTAATTCCTTTCACACAAAATTGTTGCTCCATGTGTAGCCACACTGGGCCAGTGAAAGGGACTGGGTGTGTAATTGGGACAAGGCTTTTAATTTAACTTTTACCGTAAATTCTACATTAAAGCTTTGATCAAAGATAATATATTCAGATACACCTTTGTAATCACCAACATTTTCATTAGATTTTCTCCATAACAGTAACTGATTAAACACTAATACTAATAAGTTTGTTGGCCCAACACACCAGGAAAAGTATTTGCAATATTAGTGTGATAAATGTCGGGATGCTTTTTGGTCGCTGTGATCAGGTGTTAGTTTTTATTAGGTACAATTAATGACACAATTCTGTGGAAGCTAATGCAGCTAATATCGATGTTTCAACTGCTTTCTTTCATTTAGTTTTTCATAATTATAAAATAAAATAAATGTTTACAATTATGATACTAAGATATTATTTAGCAGATGCTTTTCATAATTATTATAAACTTAATTTGCTATAATAATGTGGAAAAAACCTTAGCAGTGATTTTTCTTTCATGTGGCAGAAATGAGCTTCCATACATTGTGCTGATGTGCTGTTTAGTTTTTCACCCTCTAAAATGTAAGGAACTGTTATGGAATAAACTTTTCAACAGTATTTAAGATCTCCAACTTAATAAACTACATTAAATTCTGGATAATTCTGGATGGCTTTAAGTTTTGAATCATTTAGTGAGACGTTATGAATTTGTCATAGGCCATTGACAAGATGACTTCTGGGTTGTAAAATATAAATTTGGATGTTATATTCCCCTTTGAACGGAGCAAATCTGCAGACGTACACTGATAATACTTGTGTATATGGCTTGTATGGAATATATTTCAGTAAAATAAATCCTTGAACTAAAGGGAAAAAGGCACCACTTCAATATACCGAGCTGATGTACATACCCAAATGTTGTCAGCTGACTTGTGTCTGTAAACAGGAAGAAAATGACACAGCTTTTTTATTCCAAATGTTTTTTTTTCTTTATTTCAATTGTAGGGCCCAGGCCTTTGACACTTCTGAAAGCACCCACACGCTCTATGCTGAAACTGGAGTCAAAGTCAGCATACAGCCAAGCGTTCAATTTAACATTTCAATGTTGTTAAATACTTGGAAAAAAGAAACAATTCCAGTACAACATCTTTAGTACAGCATCATGCACAGCCAGTGGAGGAACATGCATGTTCAATGCGAATGGAGGAACTGTCAGATATCCGATTAGTGCTGTTAATCTGCACTGAGATGGTTTCTTATTTGCCTCTTGGTTTTATTACATGGACCATTTCATTCACTGTAAATTAACAAATCTGCGGTTTCATCAGTTTTGCTCAGCACCATGAGGACAATCCAACATGCCCTAAGTACTCTGCTACCCACAATGCTTTACACTCACAATTGTACTGGAATTATAAACCCTCTGAGGAGAAAGGCTCGAACATGAGGAAGGGGGAAAAGTAAGAATGGTGCGCTGAGTTGCCAATGTCCTAATGAGCTCACCCCTGAAGCACACTCACTGTGGGGCCACACAGCACTCCCAGGCCTCTAGCAGAGTGGTGAGAATGAGGAAAAACAAGTTAATGAAATTGAGGAGTTTTGGGGGGGCGCTATCCTCGACTCCAGTTAGGTGATGTTGATCGCTCAGCACCTCACAAAGCGCACAAACACACAGGCTTTAATGTTTCAGTTAATGCTCTTCCAATCCCCTCCCTACCTCCCTCCACTCCGGCACATTTTCAGCAGTCTGAGAGATACTCAAAATGTACATGGAGAATAAAAAGAGGATTAACAGATCCAGAGCTAATACCATGACATTCCTCCGCTGTACAAATTGTTAATGTCCTATAGGTTAGCTAAATGTGAGCTGGCCCTTTAAGTTATGTACAAAGAAACCCAACAGCAACCATTTCAGCAGTAAAATGAAATGCAAAAACAATGTCACTTAACTTGTTTGTTGTTTCTTCTATGGTTTTAGAAAGTAATTTGATTACAATTAACCAAAAACATGAGGTTTAAGGTAATATATATATAATATATATTCATATGTCAAGGTTAAACAAAAATCTACAAAGCAAAAAAAAAAGGCATATGTACATGTTCACCCTGTCCCAGAAAACAAAAAAAGAGACCCAACTCTCGGGCTTTACCAAATTCATGCCTTACATCCCTCCTTCCCTCATGTGCTTCAAGTGCTGTGTCGTAACAAAGCACACAGGAGGTAAATGGTTCTGTGTGATGGCATCTGAGAGCTCGTCCCCATGAATGGCTAAAATGAACCACTGTTTGCTGTTTTGGATGAAGGCATAGATACGAACTTGTAGCAGTTGCTGTGATGCACGTGCAATTCCGAGTCTGTGGCACTGAACATGGGAGCCAGACTGGGCAGGCCATCACAGAGCCGACGCTGGGTACAGCCATGGATCTGTCACATTTCAAGGCATGCAACCAACACACCAATGTTCAACTTGCTCGTACCATTTCCATCACAAGGTTTTTAGCTGATATTCTTGCAGTATGTGTGTATGCATGTTTTTTATGTAATAGATATCTGCGTGTAAACGTGTCTACTTTTGTTCCTTGGTGTGTGTGTGTGTGTGTGTGTGTGTGTGTGTGTGTGTGTTTCTATCAGGAAGTCTGCCTTACTTTGAATGCACCAACATTTTCTGTTACTATGTTTGATGGACTGTTGTGTCATTATAATATACCTAACATGTCTCAATGTGCAAGAAAGCAGCAGCATCTATTATTTTCTCTTATTTCTTTTGAAGGAAAAAGACTGAAAAAGAAAAAAGAAGTAATCAAATGTTCACTGAGGAGCAGAGGAGCTGGGGACGTCCTGATGAGTTGATATGGGTACGTTGGTTTTTCGTTTGTTTCCTCAATTTTTGTTCAGAAACCAGAACAGCAGCTGCTGATGGGTCCGTTAAGCAGACGTTGTCTGGGTGTTGTCCAGACATGGTCCTGGTGGCTCCTCCCCCTACCTCTGCACCCTGCCTCAGGCCTCCTGGGGGGCAGGCCGCTTGAGGTCCCTGATCTGTTTGACCAGGTAAGTCTTTTCGTCATTGAACTGTTCGTCCTCCGTTCTGTCGTTCTGGAACTTGCTGAGAAACTCAATGAGTTTGGTTTGGTTCTTCAGCAGGATGTCCAGGATGGGCTGCGTCTTGTTGGGGTTGGCCACAAACACCTGGGAGTTTAGGAAGAGGGCAAGGATGTTAATATGTGCAGATATTCTATATCTTCGATGTGGTGGAAGCTGTGTTTGGATTTTTACCTTAAAAACATGGAAAGCCTCAAACTGGATGTTGCGGCTCTTGTCCCGTAGAAGGTTCATCATTAATTTGAGATTCTCTGGCTTGCTGATGTATTTCGTCATTATGGTGAAATTGTGCCGGTCAAGAAGCAACTCCCCCAGTAACTGTGAGACACAGAAATAAATATTAAGTGGAATATATATATATATATTTTAGTTCAAATAAACACAAGACATTTGTACTCTAGAGAAAGGATCAGCGCTCAGTGAATAACCTCCTAAGCCCTATGATAAGCTATTATGGCAAGGCTTAACTATTCTATTCTATACAGACCAGTGAGCAGTGATAGCTAACACGTCTTTGGTTCTTTCTTTAAATAGACAGTTGCAGATTCATCGAATAAACAGGCTCACCACTTTAAACCCCAATCTTTAACTTCCTTTTCCTGTTAATGTTAAGCAGCATTAAAACTGAAAACACAAGCCAGTTTTACAAACAATTCTAGTGTTAACAAATCTTAACAATATCAGAAATTAATAATAAACTTTACTAGAAGAGTGCACTCAATGTAGTGGACGCTCTGCCTGGACAACTCTTTTAATTCACGCAGACGCGTTTCAGAAGCTCCCAGAAGCTGAGAAAAATACACACTTCATATGTTTTTGACAGAGCTGCTACATAACTGGACTTTGAACAGTATTAACTTTGTCTGCAGACGATAGCACAACAAAGTAGGAGATAACAACAATAAACATGATTAAATCAGACCAAAAATTAAACACTTAACTACATCGCCTGCTTATTTACGTAAGATAGAAGCACAGGTATCGAGGAAAAAGGACCAAATCAACACAATCTGTATGTCTACAAAATCAGGCAGGTGAAACGCTAAGTGTCTGAAATGCTGATGGAGTGGTATGACGCTGGAGAAGACAGACAGTGGAGACCTCCACCCGGTGGAATTGTCCCTACCAGCTCCCTTACAGTTAAGATAGCACTGAAGATAACAAAAACAGTGCCCAAATCATCTGTTATCATGGCTAACTTTAGTGGATCATAACATTCTGAATAAGGAAATAAACTGCAGATGCTCTAGTTCAAAATAAGACCAAACCTTTCTATAGATGTCAGTTTTAAAGCCACAAAAAAAGGCAAAAATGTACCCTGTAACAAACTGCAAAGCTTGTTGTTTTTAGCCAACTGATTCACAGACAACTTGCAGCCCCTACTGGCTGGTTGGGAGGTGTCAAGAAGCAATCATGGTATGAAACAATCACTAAAACAAGATTTTAAACAATTATGAATTAGTCATAAATGTGCACACCAAATATTAGGCTAATTGGTGCAGCAGTTTTCAAGATTATCTGCGGACAGTGGGATACACACACTCACAAACATGCTTACACGTGACTATGCATGATCCCTGGAGATGATTAACAACTTGAGAGAGATAGCAGGTTTCAATCTTTGGTATTAATTTGTCAGTGAGTTGGCAATTTGTTTATATTTTGACAACAGATTATGAGTTTAGAAATACAAAATGCATATTATTCAGACTAAGGTGAATGCATGCGCTAAATGTAGTCATAAACATAAGGCAAGTGACGCTGAAGTGAAGAAGACTCAGAGAACATTACTGTGCTACCACCACTAGATGGCAGTCACAACAAGGTGATGAAGGTGGAATGGTTCAGAGAAACCAAACACTCTGAGCAGACCCCGTCTTTAAATAGCTCTCTGAGTAGAGTTGCACCACTACATGAGACCTGTTTACTGGCACGACCCGTGGACCTTACCTTGAGGGACTGCCTTTTAGTCACGTAGTTTTCTGAGTGGAGTAACTTCTCATATTCACTAAAGAACTAGAGAGAGAGGAAGAGACAGTGACAGAGAGAGGACAGAAAAAATAGAAGTGGTCGGGGGCGAGACAGAGACAAAGCGAGAGTCATCTGAATGCGTCAAGCAGTGGTTTTCACAGTTGCATCTGTGTCTTGTATCACAACACAATGACAGGAAAATGAGAGATTTTCTGTCAGAAACTGACAGCTACTTTGTGTTCACAGCCTGCAAATTATGTCCCAAATGGCTGGTTTGATGTTGTTGAGGAAAGAGACTGTCAGCATGCCAAACACACAGACGGCTACAACTTTAATTTGCATGTAACTGGTGAAAAAAATGGTTAAATTCAATGAAAGTTTGTAGAAATAGTAAGCACTGAATTCCACTAAGAAGGCCTTTAAACAATGGTACATACTACAAAAAAGCTGCACCTATTAAGTGATTAATGATCACTGAATAATTCTTTGTTCCTCTGTTTTGTTGTGATCAACTCTGTACTGATGAATATTTTCGAAAAATACAATTTTGTCAAATAATACCTTAAGATCTGTATTGTTAACCACTTGTTTAGCTACTAATAAACACTGGTGGTAAGGACACATCCAGCCCTACTTAAAATACAAATCACTCTAAGCCTTTCTGTCTCACTTTATGTAAAGCCATTTCTTTTTAAACACTAGGTTTATGCTGAGTGTGGACTTACTCTGTCATAATGTTGCTCCAGAAACTCTGCACTCAGTAGCTTGTGTCTTGTGAGGAGGTCCTGAAAAAGACAATGCAGACTATTAGAAATAAATTCATACTTTATGTTTACTACTGAGGGTGCTTTCACACCTGCCCTGTTTGGTTCAGTTCAATCTAGCTCAAGTTCGTTTGAGCAGGTGTGAACACAGCAATCTCACTCAGGTGTGCACCAAAACAACCGGACCGGAGACATTCTTGTAGAGTTGGTCTCAGTCTGGTTACAAAACTCTGGTGAGTTTCGTTTATGGTGAGAACGTGTTCCGACCTGGATCTGAACCAACTGCAGTCACATGACACATTGTTTGGGTTAAACATGAGCATGTTACAGTCCTGGAGGATTATTAATGTGCACCTCCTCCTGTACTGCCTTAATATGCACATTCAGCACATCCAATGCATCAAAACATTGTTTTCTAGTTGGAGCCGCGCCTCATTTTCAAACTGTATGGTTTGACTAAAATGAACAATGACAGCAATATAGTCCACGATGAGCAGCCCTAAAATCAACCTGCGTAGTTGTCCCTCCACTGTGACATTAGAAAGTGTCACATTTATCTTGCTTTTGTTCAACGTTTGGTTTACTTCTTGGATTTTTTCCGCATGAAAATTCTGACCAATAAAGAGCAGCTTTCTCGCATAAGACATTTAATCTGGTCCGTTTGTAAATGCTGCCGTGAGAACACGAACCAACTCTAGGCAATTATACAACTATGTAACAAGATTAGTCCCTGATTCAGACCAAAGTGAGACAACTTTAGGTCTGAAAGCACCCTTAGCCTGGCCTCGTCTGTCTCCTTTTTGGACACTGAAGATTAAACAAACTGAAGCACATGCAGAAATAATCCTTCTAAAAAAAATTGAAACCCCCAACCTAAAATTAGACTGAAAATGTTTTGGGTCACGGTGTTATTAGTGATTTTTCCAGACATAATTCTTATCAAAGACATGAGACAACTGGTTTATGAGATGCAATTAAGTTAGCAAATTCATCATTTTTGCTTTGTAAGAAAATAAATCTTAGCTTTAATGTCAGGATTAAAATCGGAAGCGTGGTGTTAAAGTTTGTCCAGATAGCACAAGATTTCTTCCCGTCTTTAAAATGCAAGTTTCAACAACACACCCCTCTGACAGAAGTCTGAGTCATCAGCAAACTTCTGGTAGTGGTTTGAATGACAATATGACTTAAAATGATCTCACTTTCAATCAGAAATTCAAGTTAATCATTGAAGAGACTCTGACAAGGTTTCCACGTCAGCCACTGTAACTTTCCGTTTTGAAAATTAGAGGTAGATTGATGCCTGCATAGCATAACTTTGCCTTTATGAAACCTGTCTGTCCCATAACAGCAGCCACCGTTGGCTACAAATCCTCAACCTCCGTTTGTTTGTGTCAGTGTGTCTTTATAGCTGCAATATCAGCAGCAGTCGAAGCATCATCAAATTTGCTGTTTGAGCTTCTACTTAGTTACAATGCTTCAGATTATATAATGTAAACAAACCACCTTCAGCGGAGTCGCAGGAAATGGGAAATGGGAAATGGGAAATGGGGATGCTGAAGAGAAATGTCTTGAAACTGTGAACAGCATCTCCGCTAATCACTCACAGGATGTTAATGACTTAGTTTTGAAATGATGCTTTTAGATTCTTTAAAGAAAACAGTCACTAATTTTAAGGAGTCACAGATGTTTTAGAGCACTATGCAAACAACTGAACAGGTGAACCAACTTACTTTGAAAGTGGCAAATGCATCTGAGGCAATGTCGAAAGTAGACATCTCCACATATCTGAAGAAGTCGTAAAACTGCTCTGACCACAGCGTGATTTTGGCCAGCGGTTCATGTCTGATGCACTCCCTCAACATGATACCGCAGTTTAGGGCAATCTCTGGGGACTCATACCTGCACAAGACAGCAACACAGGACAAGGACTCAACATCATATAGAAGCAAACTGCACACACATTCATTTGGTGATAGCAAATAACATTTACGACGAAATGGTAATTACACATGACCAGTTGTATTAATTATGTCATTAATGATGCTTAATTTATTTATTACTTTGTGAATATATTTCTGTGGAGACATTTTTACACAGCACCTGCATAGTATAATGAAGAATTAGCATTTGTTACATCATTACAAGAAAAAAGAAATCCTGTGATAGGAGGATAATGTCGATCATCATCAAATCCACTATGCTATGCACAACATGGGAGCTCGACACTAGACTAATCACATTGAGAGTATTTGTACATGTCGAAGGTTCATTGCTTTATTACAACACTTTAAACAGCATCCCTAAAGACTTTACGGAAAGACACCCATCGTGTCATGCCGTGTCATATGATATGTGTCATAGCCAAGGTGGGTCAATCCAGTTGCGAAACTCTGGGAAAAGAGGACAGTGTTGTATCCTGTGACACCCTTGTTGAGGAGTGAGTGAAGCTCAAGCAATACGCTACCACAGTAGGACCTGTGTGTATGTAAGCTGTGCAAAGCATTTTTTCTTTTGTTTTACTTTGTTACCTTTGTAAGGAAATCCAGCCAAAGAACCAGAGTCAGTTTTTGGGATCAACAAGCTAAACAACAGATTCATCTTCAAGAGACTGAGCAGCAAAAACACTGGCACACTTTCTGCTTGAACTTATCATTAAAATTAAATGGCTATAGAATAATGACACCAGCAGTCTTTAGATTGATTTCCTATAAGCCTCACTTTCATTATGCAGTTCTGTCCGCCACCTGGTATCATCTCGCTGGGAAATGAAGGCTTGATTTACAGCACTAAGGAAGTGCGTCAGGATAGCACTTTTATTCTCCTGGTAGCTAGCAGTGGCTATCCCCAGTTACCAAAGAGTTTCAATGTAAGCTCCAAGTTACTATCCCCAGTAGCGGAAATGGCGGACAAAGGAGACACTAGAGTAAATGTGGAAAACAAAATGCAGTGTGTCCTGTGTTGCTGGGAGTTTCTAGGCTCTGAGGAAAACGGAAAGCGATCCCGGTTGTCTTTGCAACAGCTGCGCCAACAATAATACTACTTTGTAAAGCTAGAGTGGGAAGAGTTATCAGTTTCCACTTTAATAGCACCAAACAATGTACTATACTAATATCATTCTAGTGCATTCAACACCATCCGTCCAGCTCTACTGGGTGACAAGCTGACAGCAATGCAGATGGATGCCCCCCTGGTTTGTAGACTACTTGACTGGCAGACCACAGTATGTGCGCTTGCAACGCTGTGTGTCAGACAGAGTGGTCAGCAATACCGGGGCCCCGCAGGGGACTGTCCTCTCTCCCTTCCTCTTCACCCTCTATACCGCAGACTTCAGCTACTGCACTGAGATCTGCCATCTTCAGAAGTTTTCTGATGACTCTGCTATAGTTGGATGTATCAGCAAGGGTGATGAGGATGAGTACAGGGCTGTTGTGGATAACTTTGTCACATGGTGTGAGCAGAACCATCTGCAGCTCAACGTGGCAAAGACAAAGGAACTGGCTGTGGATCTGAGGAGGACCAAGACATCGGTGACCCCTGTTTCCATCCAAGGGGTCAGTGTGGACATTGTAGAGGACTGGGGGTACACATTGACAGTAAACTGGACTGGGTTAAGAACACTAACGCTCTCTACAGGAAGGGCCAGAGCCGTCTCTATTTTCTGAGGCGACTGAGGTCCTTCAACATCTGCCGGACTATGCTGAGGATTTTCTATGAGTCTGTGGTGGCCAGTGCTATCCTCTATGCTGTTGTGTGCTGGGGCAGCAGGCTGAGGGTGGCGGATGCCAAGAGACTCAACAAACTGATCCACAAGGCCAGTGACATTGTGGGAACGGAGTGTGACTCTCTGATGGTGGTGTCAGAGAGGAGGATGCTGTCTAAGCTACGAACTGTCTTGGACAATGTCTCACACCCACTCCACCATGTGCTGGTCAGGCACAAGAGTACTTTCAGTGGGAGACTCATACCACCAAGATGTACCACTGAGCGCCACAGGAAATCATTCCTGCCTGTGGCCATCAAACTGTACAACTCCTCCCTCTGAGTGGCCCTGAGACTTTCACACACTGCAATAATTTAATTTAACTTGTGCAATAACCCCATTCACCCTGACTGTATATATTCTGTTTGTGTAAATTTTGTTTACAATATATATACAGTACAGGCCAAAAGTTTGGACACACTTTCTCATTCAATGCGTTTTCTTTATTTTCATGACTATTTACATTGTAGATTCTCACTGAAGGCATCAAAACTATGAATGAACACATGTGGAGTTATGTACTTAACAAAAAAAGGTGAAATAACTGAAAACATGTTTTATATTCTAGTTTCTTCAAAATAGCCACCCTTTGCTCTGATTACTGCTTTGCACACTCTTGGCATTCTCTCCATGAGCTTCAAGAGGTAGTCACCTGAAATGGTTTCCACTTCACAGGTGTGCCTTATCAGGGTTAATTAGTGGAATTTCTTGCTTTATCAATGGGGTTGGGACCATCAGTTGTGTTGTGCAGAAGTCAGGTTAATACACAGCCGACAGCCCTATTGGACAACTGTTAAAATTCATATTATGGCAAGAACCAATCAGCTAACTAAAGAAAAACGAGTGGCCATCATTACTTTAAGAAATGAAGGTCAGTCAGTCCGGAAAATTGCAAAAACTTTAAATGTGTCCCCAAGTGGAGTCGCAAAAACCATCAAGTGCTACAACGAAACTGGCACACATGAGGACCGACCCAGGAAAGGAAGACCAAGAGTCACCTCTGCTTCTGAGGATAAGTTCATCCGAGTCACCAGCCTCAGAAATCGCAAGTTAACAGCAGCTCAGATCAGAGACCAGATGAATGCCACACAGAGTTCTAGCAGCAGACCCATCTCTAGAACAACTGTTAAGAGGAGAATGTGCGAATCAGGCCTTCATGGTCAAATAGCTGCTAGGAAACCACTGCTAAGGAGAGGCAACAAGCAGAAGAGATTTGTTTGGGCCAAGAAACACAAGGAATGGACATTAGACCAGTGGAAATCTGTGCTTTGGTCTGATGAGTCCAAATTTGAGATCTTTGGTTCCAACCGCCGTGTCTTTGTGAGACGCAGAAAAGGTGAACGGATGGATTCCACATGCCTGGTTCCCACTGTGAAGCATGGAGGAGGAGGTGCGACGGTGTGGGGGTGTTTTGCTGGTGACACTGTTGGGGATTTATTCAAAATTGAAGGCACACTGAACCAGCATGGCTACCACAGCATCCTGCAGCGACATGCCATCCCATCCGGTTTGCGTTTAGTTGGACGATCATTTATTTTTCAACAGGACAATGACCCCAAACACACCTCCAGGCTGTGTAAGGGCTATTTGACCAAGAAGGAGAGTGATGGAGTGCTGCGGTAGATGACCTGGCCTCCACAGTCACTGGACCTGAACCCAATCGAGATGGTTTGGGGTGAGCTGGACCGCAGAGTGAAGGCAAAGGGGCCAACAAGTGCTAAACACCTCTGGGAACTCCTTCAAGACTGTTGGAAAACCATTTCAGGTGACTACCTCTTGAAGCTCATGGAGAGAATGCCAAGAGTGTGCAAAGCAGTAATCAGAGCAAAGGGTGGCTATTTTGAAGAAACTAGAATATAAAACATGTTTTCAGTTATTTCACCTTTTTTTGTTAAGTACATAACTCCACATGTGTTCATTCATAGTTTTGATGCCTTCAGTGAGAATCTACAATGTAAATAGTCATGAAAATAAAGAAAACGCATTGAATGAGAAGGTGTGTCCAAACTTTTGGCCTGTACTGTATTTGTTAATACTATTGTTTAAATTTCTTATATTTTCATGTATCTTTCCTCTCTTGCAAGGAGCACCTGTAACATAAATAATTTCCCCTCGGGGATCAATAAAGTATTTCTGATTCTGATTCTGATCTCAGTAAATATCTATTTACTCAATTTGGCTATGTTATTTTCCAGCATTATGAGCATTGCCTTCTGTACTGTACGTTCCTGGGCGTGATATAACTCCAAATTTGGCATCTTTAATAGCTACTTTTATCTTGCTTTGTCAAGCACAGGAACAACTGATGAGGGTGATAACCAGTATATGGAACTTGCATCACAGGAAGCTAGACAGACACAACTTTCACCACAGTTCAATGCTGCTTTAAGGCAAAAACATTTGAAGCCATTTTCATTCTTGTTCTTGAGGTAGCAGTCACGCCATTTAAAAACAGGTGCTCTCATTTCCCTTTGTGTTAGGCAGTCACTCAGGTGCTCTTCAATAATAAGATAAGCTCAATGGGGGGCATTATGACTGTGTGTGTGTTTGTGTGTCCTTACCCTTTAAGCAACATGAAGAGGATATTCTGCTGGGTGCAGAGGTACTCCACTGTCGGCGTCCGAGTGCCAATCTGACGCCTCAGGATGTTGTTGAAGATCTGAGCCACATCTTTTTTACCCTGGGGGCAAAAGATAAACCACATATGTAGGTGTGAGGAAGTTGAGGTTTATAATTATAATAATAATAATACATGAAGAATACAATGCACAAAAACGTTATACAGCACTCTTCCACACTGACAACTAGGAGCTAGAGAAAGGTGGAAAGCAAAAATGCAGCTCTGAAAATAAGGTATGGTGTTGCTTAAATTGTGACAGAAATTAAATAAATGAAATTTTTTTGGTGTTTCAGCATCAAGAGCAAAGATTAATATCCTCTTAAGATAGTGACAAGGACACTGACAAATTGCTACCCATAACACTACAAAAATTCAGCATGCACCAATTGTGCACACAACTCTCTAAAATGTTGAATTATTGTCATATTTCTATGGTGTACGCTTATGATTTGCAATTCTTCACCAGCTTTGCTTTTACACACAGGGAGGATGGGTGAGGGTAAAAGAGGAAGAGAGAGATCACACAACACAGTGAGTCATGCTGTGATAGAGTGAGTCAGGGAAGCCTGCAGCAGCAGTTGCCACACAGCACCAGTCTGACATATTGCAGGGAGACGTGAGTTTGCCCACACATCAACATAGGCAGATGTGTACCTCAGATAATCTTCAACCACTTCTCTGCCTTCTTAGTGTTAATTAAATGTCTCCCACTTTATTTTCACTTCTTTCAGTCTCGTTCATTAAATATCGTTCTCACTCAATCTTATAACAGATGCCAAGTCTCACCTCAAAGTCGATGAGCTGCAGGTCCGCTATGAGGGTGCTGAGCAAGCCACTGTTGTAGAGCTCCTGGGCTAGCTGGGCCACTGCTTCTGTTTGGGGCTCTTTCTCATTAGTCCCATAAAGGATCTCCTTCATCGCCACCAGGCTTTTTGACACCTCCTCTGTGGCCTTAATAATAAACACATAGCGCACGTTACAGAAAGCTACTTCAAATTCATTTTCAGAGTGATGAGATGATGAATCCCACAAGTGAAGAGCGAGCGAATTTGCACGAGATTCACCCTACCTTCTCGGCCTTTTTGTCCGAAATGTCGTGCTTCTCGAGCACCGTCATGCTGTCCTTAAGGTTTTTGACGATGTCCGCCGGCGACTTGTGGGACTTGCCAAAGGGGAAAGGCATGGCGGAGAGTTACCACGAGCAACCAGGCAGCGGACTGTCCACCTGAGCAACGAAAGGTGAAACTGGATCAGGGCCTGTGAAGATGGCGGCACTGCTGAGATGAGACTGAAAAGGATGTAAAAAGCACCAAAGACAGAGACAGACCTAAATAAACGTTGCTGTACTGTATACAAAAAAATCTTAATGTATAAAATAAAAGTCTTAAATAACAGATGACCTACAAATAACATGGTCTCAGTTATTCCAGGCAATATCAGGCAGGACTAACACTGGAGCAGAGGCATTTCCTTTCTCTGACATTTAAATTAAATCTATTTTCCAGATTTGTTTTTTCCTCTATAGCATTTTTCAAAGAACTGTCTGAGTTGTGATACCACTATGGTTATTGTGGGCAAATTATCTTGACAGTGAGTTATGATTTCTATCACCAGCGTACATGTAGAGTAGCAAAGACAACAGCAGACCGAGAGAGAGGAGCACGTAGTGCTGTCTGAGCTTATTCCCAAAAAGGTGCTGTTGGTGGGCCAATTCCAGTTTCCGTATCATAAGCCACCATTAGCTCCTGCTGTAAAACAAAGCAGCTAGCTCTGATGCCAAACTGTGAATTAAGCCCTGATGAATCAATCACTGATGACATTTATTACTAATTCAAGTCCCATACCAGGGAAATGTTAACACACTAGAGGAAAGGTGATTTATTTATATAACTTGTGCACATAATATCTGGATCTGACCTTCAATGCTTTATTGTGAGGTAGTACAATCTTGCGAATCTTCTGGTAATTGTCGGTAAATGATTAATCAAGCAATGTTTACTATGACATAGGTCTACTTGCACCGTGATATAGCCTCAGCCCTTTGTATGACCCATACTCCCTGACCAAGTAAACACCGTGTCACATAACTAAACATACAGCACGTTCTAATGTTACTAATTTCAGTCAATAATCACAAACAAAAACCTCTAACCGGAGATAATACTGAACCACTTCACAAGGACCATATCTCACCACTGCTGTTATTTAACTGGGTTACTTAACAAGGACCCTTATCTACACAACTCCCTGACCCACCCAAGCACCTCACGTATACAGCGGGGCAAAAGCCAAAGTTTTCTGAAGAGACAAGAAGTGAGATGAGAAATTCCAAGAACCCAGGAAGCATGTCAGTAAAACTTCATCACAGTATTATGATCATTTCAATCAATCAGTTATTTTCATTAAACATTCTGCACGTTGAGACATCTGTTTCCAGTGGGATACTGACGCCACAAAACATCAACACGAGGTACACATCAAACCCTAAGAAGCACTGATCTAACAGTCTGTCACCAACCTGTTGTCCTGCCTGGATCCTCTAAACTCTGGACACAAACCCTGGAGTGGTCACACACGTCCTCTTATGTCTTGGCAGGGAGTCCACATTTAGAAAGCAACGCTGGGGCCAGGAATATAAACCAAGCAGCACCTAAGTGGGAGGTGCAGTCCACCACCAGTCGTATGTGATGTGTCATGTGTGACTAAGTTGAGCTATAAAACATGCCACTGGGTTCACTGGTGGCTCACCCAAGTTGTGCTTGCTTACATCTTTATTAATCTGGACACACCTCAACTTCGCCAGGTGGCCAAATCCGTCTGTCGCACAGACTAATGCTCGTTAATGTAGCCAGCAGGCAGCAGAACCGCCTCTCCACTACTGACCCGCTTCAGTGTCACACAGTGACGCAAATAGGAGGAAACATATGGCAGGTCCTAAATCAGCTGGTCCCTGCTAACCAACAATGACTCCAGTGCTTGCTAATCGTATCGTATACTGGAGTAATGTTAGGTCAACAAATGTCAGAGGTGATGTGCTCCTGACTTTCCTACAAACTGATCTAACGTGGCCTAAGAGACGGATAGGGAGTCCAAATCTCTGCGACTCTTTCAAAGGATACCACCGTCATGCTAGCCAGGACATGCTTCACATATCCGCGATTACACCATGGCCCTGAAGTGTAGTTACCCTCCAGGAAACAAACAAAACAGTGCCAAAAAACAGCTCAAACGTCACCCCCACCCTTCAGTCCAGACAGGAGATGCTCTGCTATCATCTGACAGCAAGCTAGCAAAGAGCAGCTAACGTTAGCTAATGCTATTCCAGTTATCTAGCTAGCTTATTTACACATACCACAAACTCTCCCAAAGCTATTTCAGCTACACTTCAGACAAGTATAACTTAACTAACTCAAACAAGTTGCACACCCGCGGCCCAGTAAGCTGGCCAGTATGAAGCTGACAGTGAGCACCGCCCCTCTCTGTTATCCATGCCTGGTTTGTGATGGTGTGAAGCCTGCCAACTTTGCGCAATGCTAACAAAATGGATACTTGCTCACTGAGTAATTCCGCGTCTGGCAAATGCAACACAGCTATAATGCAGAGCTACAGTAAATAAAGTAATCCAGCTACCTTTACTTTGCACTCAACAGCTCCCCTTTTTGTCTGTTTGTAAGCTAGCGTGGCCTGTAATATTTCAATCACTGTCCACCAAACAACAGTGCTACTGCTAACTTGCTTGTGGAAGTGTGTATATGTGTGTGTCGACACACCGAAGGCCTCAGCAGGCCTGATGGTTACAAACCTTTCCCGACTGCTTTAACCTCATTTTAAGCAGCTACGACAGTAAGAAGTAGCTAAATTTATTACAGCCAGTTTTGTAACGTGATATTGGTAACGTCATTTAGCTAGCCCTGTTAGCATAACGTTAGCCTGGCCTGGCAGTCGCTCCCTGCGCTGGTAACGTTACTATCAAGCCCATGCCTGCCTTTAGCACATCAGCAACAGCAGGCTATGTTCAGCTAAACGTTTTTACTCGCTGAGAGCTGTCCAATAAGCTAACTAACGTTAGCAAATGTAGCTAGCTAGCTAACTTTAAGGCAACCGTTTTCAGCTAAAATAGCCTCACACCACAATGCTTGCAAACAGTGATTCACAGCATTAACGTTACATACACATAACATTATACCTTGTAAACGGCGTCTTCACTAATGTCCCCCGACTTGTCAAGACAGCAAAAGGCAACTCAGGTGCTCCTCGGAACAAAACCTGCTTTGTTTTCCCTGTTCGCCGCCTCCCCTTGTTGGTAAGTTGCTGTAGTTAATTGTGCAGCCCCTGTTTCCTAGTTCTTTCTCTGAGCTCGACTGGTGAAGCTAGCAGCGGAGCGGGTGTCACTGCAGCGGCGTCTATCGCCCCCTCTGGTCGTCTCGTGTCACTGCAGCAGGGGTGGTTGCACTCCGCGAGGATGGCATGTGACCGCAGGGGGGCGCCCTAACCCCACAGACCATTTGATATATGTACAGGTTGGTGATGCTCGAGTTATGTTCATTTATAATGCAAAGCATGTCATAATAATAATAATAATAATAATGTAGGTCTAATAACTGTCTGTAGATTTATCCTAAGATAGGCCTACTGGAAGACAACAAAGGCCTCGGAATTGAAATTTAATTAATTCAATTTTAATTTAATTTAATTTAATGCAATGGTGGACATAGCATTTTATGAAGGTATGCTCAGTAGAATAAATGGCGATCAGGAGAAAGAAGTATATCCTTGGGCCCAGTTATGGACTCATATGAAAACAGAATTTAAGCCTATATAAATATGAACTTGCTCTATGCTCTATGAACATATGTGTGACTTGTTTTTGTTCGTTAGTTTTTTTTCTATACACTGGAGTCCACCTCCATATTATAAAAAATATGTACCTTGTATTCATGTATGCCCGGAAATTAATATGTGTATGCCATTTACCAAGCTTTTAAAACCAATAAAAACTTGAATTATAGATACTAATACTACTTCTACTACTAATAATAATAATAGTAGTACCTTGGATTTATATTTTGTGTTTCTGGATAGAATGATGCTCTACAGAGAACAAAACAACAAAACAAAACAAGAAAAAAAGAAATAATCTATAAAAAGGGAAACAGTGCAGATGGGAGTAGAAGAACATTTTGACGATGTGTGTGCTGGGTTTTTTGTTGTTGTTGTTGTTGTTGTTGTTGTTGTATTCAATGTAGCGTGAACATCACAACCTAGGCTATTCCCCTCAAAATATATTTCAATATAAAGAAACATCTAACAAAAACAGTGAGCCCAAAAAAAAAACCCCATCTATTTTGTGACACTCTTGTCACTATGGTATCTCAACCATTGTACCTGGACGTTAGTATTAGCTTACAGTGGAGGCAGTTCAGAGATTACAGTGACTCCACGATTGATAAAGGTAATGTTTCTATGTAGGCTACTCAATGAAAGGCTGCCATATCTTTAAAAAGCATGGTTGGCATCAGCAGGCCTGAGAGTGCAGGAGGGAGGGTGCCAGTGGAGCTCAGAGAGGGAGGGGGCAGCCACGTTGTGGAGGGCTCTATAGGTGATGATGAGGAGCTTGAAGTGGATACGTAGTGTATGAAGGATGGGGGTGATGTGGTCATGGGTGCGGGAGTGTGTGAGAAGACGAACAGCTGAATTCTGAATATACTGTAGTTTCTTAAGGGTTTTGGATGATGAACCTTAAAGGAGAGTCTGATCTAGTCTGGATTTGATGGATGAGAACATAGAAGGCATTGTAAATGTAGGGGATACTGAGGACTGTTGCAACAAGTCTCATTTCTCCAAGTAGAAACATTCAAGTATAATGACACTCATACTACAGATGCTCAGTTAGACCCCCACCACACCAGAAATGCAGAAGACAGATTAAACATCCTCTGTTGTGTTAGTTAACACAATAATGGGATTGTTTTCTTATTTCCTATGAATGTAACCTTAGTATTGTAATGATCCATTAGTAAACAGTGAGCCATTACTGTTTGTCATACACTGAATAAATTAATCAAAAGCAGAAATTTATTTTTTCTTGTTTGCCAAGAGTGAGGAGGAGAGTTACTAACAGAGGTTGTCCACAAACAAAACTCAATAACTGTTATTTGATAATAAAGCTAAATAAATAATACCATGAGATTATTGTATGGTAATGCATGTTTTCAGCATACGTATTAAGATAAAAGTTATTCAGTGAAATTTAATGGTTTTTTAATATGTTGCAATCGTCCCTGCGCCATGTTGCAACTGTGCCCAAATTAGGTCAGTTGCAACATCTGACTTCTTCTGTTGAAATAAATATTGTGAACGATATATCTATTCATGTTTAAATGGTATGGGTACTCTGCAGACAGATGTAAGTTTAATATTTAACAACTCAAACAACTACAACAGTAAAATGTCACTTTCAGTATAATCAAATAATATATCTAATACAAGAACACTCAAAGGGGGCAGTTTTCTGCACTGAATAGGCTACTTTTACTTTTTGCACTACAACTTTAATGAAAATAATAATAATTTGGGTAAATCCTACAGTGTTCATGAAAGGCTGATTATTCTAAGGAACACATCTTATTTCATCAAAAGGCTAGAATCTATGGGAATATTCTGCAGATGATAGCTGGTGCTGAAGCTTTCTCTGTAAGGCAGAAGTTGTGGCTGAGACTACTTGACTGGCAGACCACAGTATGTGCGCTTGCAACGCTGTGTGTCAGACAGAGTGGTCAGCAATACCGGGGCCCCGCAGGGGGCTGTCCTCTCTCCCTTCCTCTTCACCCTCTACACCACGGACTTCAGCTATTACACTAAGACCTGCCATCTTCAGAAGTTTTCTGATGACTCTGCTATAGTTGGATGTATCAGCAAGGGTGATGAGGATGAGTACAGGGCTGTTGTGGATAACTTTGACACATGGTGTGAGCAGAACCATCTGCAGCTCAACGTGGCAAAGACAAAGGAACTGGCTGTGGATCTGAGGAGGACCAAGACACCAGTGACCCCTGTTTCCATCCAAGGGGTCAGTGTTGCTGTTTTTACTGGCTGGTTAAAGATACTTCAACACTAAAACACTGACAATTTCAATTTATATTTCAAAATGTAGTCTAAATTTGAATGTATAAAACAAAACTGAACATACAGTGTTTTGTAATGCACCACATGAAACAGTCACATACAATTTTAAGATAAATTTACAGTATTAATGTCTCTGCCAAACCAGACCAGAGGATAATTGTAATATGTAGGCTACAGTATATGGTTATATCAAAGTATGTTCTTATAAGCTTCCAGCCCTGTTAGTCCTACAACAATGCTGCTCTCTCAGCTCTCAGCTGTTTGATAATCATAATCATGGTTTCACACATTTAAGAGATGCACCATAGTTGTCTGTGTAGATGCCATGTGTTGGGATGAGTTATATAACACAAATGAAACCAATAATATGTGCATAATAGAAATATGTGCATAAATAATAAATAATATGTGCATAATAGAAATAGCTGATCGAGACATGTATGAAAATCAGTTGTGGCAGTCTGCTAATATTATGACTTGACAAGCCATTGTTGACAGACAGCTGTTGATTTTTGTTTTTGTATATTGTTTGTTGCCATTATTACTCATCAAAATTGTATTTCTTATTAAAGTTAAGGAGCTGGCAGTTGGTTCAGCCTGACACTCATGTTTGCTCTGGCGCCCTCTGGTGGGGTAATCCAGCCCTGCCTCCACCACTGCAAACTTGACAAAATTCTTTGAGGCAGTATCCTGATGATGCAATCATGATGCAGGATGACAAACACCAAAACCATCCAATCAGTGAGTTACCTGTCAGTCAGTAGAACTTCATGTTAACTCCTCTTGGTTGAAAAATGTCAGTGTGAACAGGAACCCGACCAAAACTAAAATGCAATATTATCATATTTTTCCCCCCTGGTGTGAACCAAATGAACCAAACTACAGGTAAGAAAGCACCTTAAATGGGTCCATTTTGAATGGACCGCAAGTAACTTGCAAACATGTCAGGTTTCTTAAAAAAAAAAAAAACACTTTATTTTCAAGTACAGTGAATTTCTGGTCAGCCCGGTCCCACTCCAAAGTCATCAAAATCTGGCACCAGACACTGACAAAATAGCTGTCCTTTAACATCAATAGTGTCAGGGGGAAACGTAATGGGACAAGAATGAAAGTTAAGGTGGTGACAGTCCGAGTAAGGAGGGAGGGGTGTTGGGTGGGTCCAGCAAACACCGACTTTCACCTGGCAGACCTGCGTTTGCATCCTGTAAGATTATTAAAGCCAAACCCTGTTCTTTTTTCCTAAACCCAACCACATGCTTTTGTTGCCTAAACATAACCGTGTGCATTAGTTGTTGAAGGAAAGAATAACATCAGTTTGCAGCGTTGTACTGATGTAGTGTGTTTATTTTGATAGACACTGTATGTAAATGGTACATTTCCTGTGAAAACAGAAGTGTATTTTGAAAGAAGATGGTATGTAACAGGCAGAACTTGATATAGCACAACCAGGGTACCTTTCACATCATATCTGGACATGGAAAGTCCACAACCAAATGTCAATATGTGACGAGATCGGAGTGAGAATATGTCATTTTGGCACAGAGCTTTTATTTCTAAGTACCATTTCCTGCTGTAGAGTGAGTGAGTAATGGACAGCTGCTTGACAGAGACAGCAAACTAGCTGGACTACATGGCTAAACCAAAGTATGATGCTGAATATATTAAACTGTGTGGAGCTTGAAGTAATTACTAAAGAGAAATCTGGAGCCCATGGCTGGGCAAGTTGGGAACCATTGGACTAGAAATCGTCTCTGTTGCTAGGTTGTTGGGGTCAGCTTATTGGAGTGGCTCTTTGTCTTTCCTTTTTATTTCTTTATTTTTGTGTCATACACACAAAGATTAGCTCGACCCTAATGGGTTCACAAGACACCATTATCGCTGCAGTGATCAATCCAAAATATGTGTCATTTTACTGCTCAGTCCCAAACAAAATACGCCTTCTCTCCCAGGCCCAGCATGCAAAGTCTGCCACAAAAAGGCTCCCCTTCTGAAACATGACTCAAAATTTTAAACTCAATTAACATTTAGGAATTTAGCAACACAATCTGCCTTTTGCATCAGCTGATGCTTGAACTCACAACCTCTGAGACTAAGAATCAATTTTTATCTCACTGAGCTAATTAGTCAGTGACAATTCATGTGTAGCTTCACAAATTGACTAAGCCAGACGTGCAGGTTTAGCAGCCGTCCATGCATGGAAAAGCAGATTTGAAACCACTGTAAAAAAATTCAGTTATAAGACAAAAATCTGAAAATACACATATTGCATCTAGACAGCATGGAGATGTTGGTAATTTGTTTGTAACAATGATTGATTTGCTCCATAAGTGAAAAACTGATGTTTAAAATTGCCATTTTTACATTGACTCCAATTGTTCACATTAGAGCAAAATTCAAAATGCTGTCAAAAATTCAGTTTTGAGATAAAATTCTGAAATTTGCCACACATCATCTACCATGACTCTAGAATTTTGTCATTTTTTTCATGAACATTGAAGTTTTATTTAGCAAGAATTTGCATGTATATGTTTACAGTACTGTTTACCATCAAACATTTTGATGCACTGTAGGCTCAATTTTTGATAAATCAAAAATCTGAGAAGTGTAGTTTTTGTAGGACAGTCTGAAGATGCTCTGTAGCAAGTTTGGTGTCAATTGTGCAAAAATTGTGGGAGGAGATAGGTTTAAGAAGTTTTACGGTTTTTGAAAAAAACAGAGTGATGAACTTCATAATTTTTAATAGATTTAAGTGTACAAAAGTTTCTTCAGTACAATATTGGGGCTACAGTTTGGTGAAACTTGTGAAGTTGTAGCACGTATGGTTGATTTGTGGTTGACCACGCTTTATTAGCTACATAGCAGTCTACTGACGTGACTGATTGGTATCCAGTCATTAGTTAGAACCCATTTCCATAAGATATAAGCAAAACATGTTTATTATGAGAATGAATTGCCCCACAATATGAGTACATTTTAATGGTATCTTATATTTTGTTGGTATCTGTTGTGTAATTGCAATATTAAACTCAAAGGCTTCACTGTCATTATGAGCCAGACTGACGTGATTACGCCCTCTCGTGTAATATTGTTTACAGTGTTTGCATTGTTTGAATATGAAATCAGATTTATTCCATTTATGTCCGAGTTTATTTTTTATTCAGAGTGGAAATTGAGGTACAGGAGCATCAAAACACCAGTGGAGAGCTCATTTTTTCTCAGAGCAAAAGAAAAAGAGGTACCCAGAAGTCAAATATGAAAGTGTAACATGTGACTGCTTCTGGTGGTGGTTAAATGCACAACAAAACGACAGATGTGAGACAACAGCAGAGACTTTACAGAAAAGAGCAGTTATGCCATGTTTGCTTTATAAATTCAAGACCAACCACAACATTCAGACCTCCCTCTGTGCATATCAAAGACTGCTATTGGCATTTTGTGTGCAGCGATTGTTGCCATAAGGATTCTCTGCCATGACACTACAACTAGGCTATCCTATTGTCTGCGTGACAGCAGATCCAGCAACCAAAAGACAGTCACGCTGACTGATTAAAGGAAGAGAGGGCTGCCTGTTATCTCTGCTGCTCGTTGTTTCTGTTCTAATATTTTCTCTGCCTCTACTTGTGCTGCCAAAAAGTTGCATTGGCACAGTAATTCCAAAGAAAGCTGCATTATTACATGGATCTGACAGCTTAAAATTGTTAAAGGCAAATGTTTCTGAGGATGCGGTGAGGGGATTTATGGAAGCTTTGAGTGGTTTTCAGGGAGAGGGGAGGGACAAGAGAAGGAGAATGGAATGAGGGATGGAGGACAATGGAGAGAAAGACAACTGCTGTTTATGGAAAGTGAGGATAGAGCTGCTGGTTGTTCTTCAGGAGGTGACTGTGATGCGGTCATAGGGCCCGTTAGTGGCTGACGTGGCCTCGCCAAAGGCGTTGCTGCTGCCACCGCTCCTGGCCGTGATGCTGCCAAAGCCACCGTAACCACCACTACCTGATGATGAAAATAAGACTTTTTCAGATGAGATGGCAGGAATTTCCATTCAAACGTAACAACCACACTGATAGCTTTACTCATGGTTTTCATTTAATTTTTATTTAATTTCATATTTTCATGAACTTGTGTAGAAATGACTTGAATTGTCAATACGTACCGCTGCTGCTAACGCTCTGTATGTGGACAGTTGCCTCTCCTCCCCCACCTTCAAGTCTGCAGAAAGATAAATAAGCAATATTAGCTGCTAATGTTGCTGCCTGCACGATGTGATGAAATGCAATCAGTAAGTGCTTCAGAATATTAGACGCCTTGTGAACCCAAAGCAGCTAAGATTTACCTAAGTTCCTCTCCCTCCAGAAGCTTCCTGTAGGTGGCAATCTCAATGTCCAGGGCCAGTCTGATGTTCATGAGCTCCTGGTACTCGCGGACCTGGTGGGCCATGCTCTCTTTGGCTTTCTGCAGGGCCACATCCAAGTCCTTTATGCGGGCCTTGGCATCTTTCACAGCCAGCTCTCCACGCTCCTCAGCCTCAATGATCTGGACTTCCAGGTTGGCACACTGAGAGATTGTAAAGTTAGCAGAATTTTCATTAGTGATATTTGTCAATGTCAAAATGCCCCCTACATGATCATATATATGTGTGTGTGTGTGTGTGTGTGTGTGTGTGTAAATGATGTAACTGTGACCTTACCTGTCCTTTAATTGCCTCAATCTCACTCTGGAGGCGGCTGATCAGGCGGTTGTGTTCAGAAATCTCTTGCTTAGATCTGCGGAGGTCATCTCCGGTCTGGTCTGCACTGGTCTTCATCTCCTCGAACTGAAGGAATAAGATTAAAAATAATTGTTATTGCAGATTCCACGGACCGACCTCTCCCCTTTTATTTGACATTGCAGGACGTGTGTGTTGTGATGAGATTGTTTTCTCTCTCTATCTACCTTCTGCGTATAGCATAATTCAATTTCAGCACGGCTGCGGTCCGCGATGGCCTGATACTGAGCCTTGACCTCAGCCACAATGGCGTCCATGTCCAGTTTTCGGTTGTTGTCCATTATCACAGTGGCTTCAGTGTTCTTAAACTGTTGTTGAAAGTGCTGCAGTTCCTGCAAAAGAGAGAAATATGTCATTTAAAAAAAATAAATTGGAAGATGTTCAATATCTATTTCTATTCTGTATCTGTGCCCACATTATGCCATTTAACCTCCTCCACTCTAGGCATCCTCAGCTGACATTACAGTCTTCTAGAGGCTGTAGTGGGTACCAACCATGTCTTGTTATCTGGTCAGTAAGGGATTGAGTAATGCTCTAAACTTAGGTTAAATTTTGACGAGGGAAAACCATGGCCATATTCACAGGGGTCCCTTGACCTCTCACTGCAAGATGCCTGAATGAAAATGAGCTCTGTGGGTACCCACGAGTCTCCCTTCTAAAGTCATGCCCACTTTGTGCTACTCCCATGGAATTTGGGGCAAAAGCGATGCCATTTTTCTCATGCAGTACAAATGTCTTATTTTTGGCTATTCTATTTCAGTAGTTCGGCATACTAGAGTCCCTAAACAGTATTGGAATTGCAAAAATTGGGTATGACTGGAAAACTGAGACTCTTGTAGATTTATTGAGCCCAACTCTGTTCATATTTGATGATGATAGCTGCCATAGTAGTAGGATTATCACAACCTCATGAAATTTTGCAACCACAAACTAGAGACTTCAGGCATTCAGAGAATGTATGGCTTAAAGGGATAGTGCACCCAAAAATGAAAATTCAGCCATTATCTACTCACCCATAAACACCCAAAAACATCATTTGAACTCGGCGGTGCCCATGTCTCACGGTCTCACGCAAGCGCACACACATGAGCACAGTGTACAGAGAGGCAGTTAGCACTACAGGCTACAATGAAGCTAAAAACAGAGTTCAAATGACGTTTTTCCAAACAACTTTTTATGTCGGGGCTTCAGGACACTTGGATCACTATGGACGAGCAGTATGGAGATATTTTGTGGTTTCAATTATGTGTTTTTGGACGTTTGAATCTGGGGCGCCGTCAGCCTCCATTAGGTGGAGTTTTGTTGCTACCCCCTCTCCCCTTGGATCTCCGCAAGTGATGTGAGGACTCTAAAACTTCACCTGAGCCTCCCTCGGCATATGGATGAGTAGATAATGGCTGAATTTTCATTTTTGGGTGCACTATCCCTTTAAATTAGTGTATTGACAATAAGCAGGATTCTCGTCATTTTCCAGAAAAGAAGTGCTCGCCATCCAATTGCAGAAAATGCAATTCTTAGAGAAATCTCCAAATGTCACGAGTTTTTGCCACAAATACACCTTCAATGTTAGGTCCCCTAAAAAAAAGGAGCAAAGAAACAGAAATGACAGGAATGAGGTAATTTGCTATGGTTCATTTTTCTTACTACATCATAAACAGCTCTGAGGAAGTTAATCTCATCCTGGAGGGAATCAGCCTTGGCTTCAAGCTTAATCTTGTTCGTGTAGGCGGCATCCATATCCTGTATGTAGAGAGGAAAAAAACAGTCTGCGTTAGCGATGGGTCAGAGGAAAAACATTAATTAATCCCACTGTTGTTAATGAAATGGCAAAGTGACAGGTTCTTTAATCGCAGGCCAACTCTTACCTTCTTCAGGAGCACAAAGTCATTCTCCTCAGCGGCACGCTTGTCGATTTCATCTTCATACCTGCCACACAAACAGTGGAAAGATTAGCTGATGGAAAATGTCTATGGATATCAGCTACTGTAGGTCTGTAGCTGTTGTTGGTTTTCCTGGGCTAGTATGGACTCACTTTGTCTTGAAGTCTTCCACCTGTCCCTGCATGTTCTGCAGCTCTCCATCCAGCTTTATTTTCTCCCTGCCGAGCCCGTCCACATGTCTGCGCAGGTTCATGAGGTAAGCCTCGAACATGGCTTCAATGTTGGAGGGGCGGGCCGTCTGCTCCTGCGTCAGGCTCCACTTAGTCTCCAGCATTTTGTTCTGCTGCTCCAGAAGGCGAACCTTAAAGGTAAAATCATTCAGCATTTTTATATCCAGTCTCACTTGGGGGAGAGGTGTTACTTTGAATATGACTTCAAACCACATTGAATAACTGTGTAATTAATTAAATAATAAGACTACATTAAAAACTGGTAATAATCCACATCAGAAGATTTGGTGCTTGCCGATGCCTCTTTTCATTTTCTCCCTTTCAGCAAACCACGAATAAAAAAAGGCAAATATATCACAAAACACATCAGCAACTGAGAGAAAGCTTCTTCTTCAGCCTCATTACCATCGCAATATTACTACTGCATGGAACGCTCCATAACATTTCTTTTGATCAGATCCAGGACCGCTGTTGGCCATTTGTGCGCCCTAAGCGTAACTGCTTTGTGGTTGCTATGTAATATTCATTGAGCTCAGGTGGTCTGTTGCAGCCATTCACCTTTGCACAGGCCAATGAACTCTACTGTTTACAGTGCATCCACTATCTATTACTAATATTTCATATTCATTTATGTTACAATCTGTTGTTTAACCAAATCAGAGTTGTTTTCTCAAAAGCACAAACACACTGAAATGGTGTGGGATGTTGATATACAGAAAAGAGCTACTCACCTTGTCAATTAACAAAGCAAAGCGGTTGTTGAGAGTCTTCATCTGCTCTTTCTCCTGTGTACGGACAGTCTGGATGTTTGGGTCGATCGTAAGTTCCAGAGGGGTCAGTAGGCTCTGGTTGGCTGTTACAGCTGTGATTTGTTGCGCTGCAAAACCTGTGGCAGGACCAAAACCACTTCTGAAACCACCTCCACTAGAGGCTCTGAAACCACCTCCACTAGAGGCTCTGAGACTACCTCCACTAGAGGCTCTGAGACTACCTCCACTAGAGGCTCTGAGACTACCTCCACTAGAGATTCTGAGATTACTACCACCAGCAATACTACTGGCAAGACCACGGACTGACGTGTTTGATATTCTGCATGACCCGCTGCCGATAAGAGGTCCTGAGAAACGATGATCAATGTACGGAGGTTGTGGGCGCGAAGGTTGTAACATACTCTGAGGCACAATTTCCATGGCTGGTGTTGTTTCCTCTGAAAGAGAAGTTTCACAGAGAGAAGGGGAAGCAGAGAGAGAGAGAGGTTTGGCAGAGCAGTGGAGCGCACTTAGAGGAGAGCCAAGTCCCAGTAAGTGACTTCTCCCTGTCTGTGATGGATTTTTATCTGCCTTCAACTTTGGAGGAGGCCCCAATCAGCTCCACCTAACCTTATCCCCCCCTCAACCATTCTTCAGTTACTTGGAACTTGGGAGGTGCACTTGCACACACCCAGGTGCTGTTGCGGAAATGGCATCACAGCCAGGGGTAACGTGAGAAAAGACAACAAAAACATGTTCTCCAGGTTCTCCAGTTTTTTTTTTGAATTGGCGTAATTTCTGAAGCTGCAGCATGTTTCTTCTAATGGAAACATTTTGGGTTGCTGTGCTGCGTTTGTCCTTGTTGGCCATTGTACCGTACAAAAGGCAATGAGATCCAGTCATGCTTTGGGGAACTAGGCCTCAACAGTGCAGCAAGAGGGTTCCTGGTTCGAACTCTGGGGTGGGGGAGCCCTTCTATGTGGAGTTTGCATGTTCTCACTGTGTCAGTGTGGGTTGTCTCCGGCTTCCTTCCACAGTCCAAAGACATGCAGGTTAATTGGTGACTCTAAATTGTCCGTAGGTGTGAATGTGAGTGTGAATGGTTGTCTGTCTCTATGTGTCAGCCCTGTGATGATCTGGTGACCTGTCCAGGGTGAACCCTGCCTCTCACCCAATGTCAGCTGGGATAGGCTCCAAATCTGGTAAAGGATTGTATTTGATCTCACATGATATGACTGGTGACATTTTAATTTAGAATTGCTGTGCTGCACCTTTTCGTAGAGTTTTCTAAGTTTTTGACGTAGTTGACCTCTCTGTTTTCTTACCGCGGCTGGTTAACATAGGGCTGTCCTCAAAAACTGATCAGTGGTTTGAAAACTACTCGAGCGAGGGAACGCAAAGTGTCCAAGTTGGTGGTGTATTTTCTTGCCTTTTGAAAATACAAAATGGTGTCCTGCCAGGCTCTCTACTGAGACCTATTTTATTAGCAATTTTATCAATTCAAAATTTCATTTCCATGTGTGTGACATCATTATTTGTGACTCATCTTTAGCCTGTGTGATTGAGAAACTGCAATCTGCTTTTATTGTTGTTCAGAGGAGTCTTTGTGAGACTTGTACTGAATCCTGACAAAACTAACATGATGTGCTCTCCCTTAGGTCGAAGAAGACGGCTGAAGGATTCACACAGAAAAGGGGGAGCAGAGAGAGAGAGAGGTTTGGCAGAGCAGTGGATGTCCCAGTGAGCTCCACCTCCTCTCCATCTTCCAATTACTTGGAACTCATCTCAGCCTCAGACTCAACCTGTCAGACAGGTAACAGTGTGTCCATAGTGTTTCCTAAGAATTGCACTATTGCCTTAAGTGAACTGCAAACCACTGTTTTGGGGTGGACCTAAGATCATAGTTTGACAGCAAGTTTGACAGCAACTCAAATGTAGTAAACAATTTGGGAAAAAAGCCTCAACTGTTAAAAAAAAAAAAAAAGTCCAAAACTGCGTGAGGTTGATCAACTGATCAGCAACAGGGAAAAAGTAAGGGTTACAGCATGACCTCATCTTACGCAGAAACAGCTGTCATGTTGACACTGTCCTGCAAGACTTCTGTACTGTAACATGGAAGATTTATGTGTCTACAACTTGAAGCACACACTATTAAGATTACCCATATAGAAAAGCTATAACCATGTATGTGCACATTTTGTCTGCATATGAGTGATGATGTATGTCAGATTGTTACTTTCAGTAATAAGGTGATTGAACAGGTCTCGGGTTTTTTCCTGCAAGACAATCTGTCCTTTAAACACCATTTTGAGTGTCTTATGAAAAACACTCAGGGTGATGTTGGGTTTTTATTATACAAACAGTTGGTGTTTGTCGTTTGGTGCAAGGAAAAAATTGGTTCAAATGATTATGATGATATTTTATAATGCAAACTGATCCTACTCGAAAATCTTAGATTCAGTGTACCATGTTGCGCTGTGGTTTGTCTCTGATTCAGGCTTCTGTGCACTCATTGCAGTTATCAGAACGACAAGTGTCATAGAGCTAGTTTGACAAGTGAATGCACATATCAAGTTACTAAACGTTTGTTTTTTGTTTTTTGTTTTAACTTTTTGCTGTTGTGTTTGTTCTGTCATGTGAGACTTTTCATGCTGTTGTTTTGGCCAGGACTCCCTTGCAAAATAAATTTGAATCTCAACGGGCATATAAGTTTAAACTGGTAAAATCTCACTGGATTTGCAAAACACATTCTGACCAGCTGTTGTTAAAGCTGACCTAACATACGTTTGAATGCATGCATGTAAATTCATTTCAAACATGTGTGCATTGATTCCTGAAGACATGAATGTTTGCACCATATGCTTATAGGTTAGTGAATGCTCAAACGAATTGAGGCACTTGAGCAAAAAAGTGGATACAGCTTTCACTATCCAAAATCAGGCACATTGTGTCATTTTCTCAAACATACTTATATCAATAAGCAGGAAAACAATAGACTGACAGAAAGCTAAAAGGAGTTTGAACTATCTGTAGCAGAGAACAGAACATATGGGGCATTAATATAAAGCCTGTGTAGTGCATGTAACATGGGACTGTATATGGAGTCAGAGTGTTGTGCCAGGCCTGCATGTGTCAGCTGGTGCTGAGCACAGCGTGGGTGTTTTCAGACCTGGCAGGTCTGATTTGTTTCAGTTAATGTGATGGGATTTAGATTCATTTCATACACAAGAATCTATCCACACCATGAACTGATTGTGTAACTCAACCATCTACTATATACCTATGAAATTTGGCAATCACCTATGGCATTTTTTTATACCTACGGAGCACTTGGTACTCTTTGCCTTTGGTCCTATGGCTACAGTGTCAGACAAGGGCAAATGTGTCACATCGGCCCAAAACATTTCCATTAGGAGAAACACACTGCAGCTTCTGAAGCGATGCCAATTCAAAAACACATACAAAAATCCAACACAACAACAGAAACATGCTGCAGATGAAAAATAAATAACTTCACAGCAAACACACAGCAAATAATGAAGCGATGCAAAGAAAAAACACTCAAAACAAATGCAACAAAAACATGCTGCAGGTCCAGAAGTTCTCCAGGCCTTTTTGAAGTAGCGTAATTTCTGAAGCTGCAGCATGTTTCTCCTAATGGAAACATTTTGGGTTGCTGTGCTGCGTTTGTCCTTGTTGGCCATTGTACCGTACAAAAGGCAATGAGATCCAGTCATGCTTTGGGGAACTAGGCCTCAACAGTGCAGCAAGAGGGTTCCTGGTTCGAACTCTGGGGTGGGGGAGCCCTTCTATGTGGAGTCTTCATGTTCTCACTGTGTCAGTGTGGGTTGTCTCCGGCTTCCTTCCACAGTCCAAAGACATACAGGTTAATAGGTGACTCTAAATTGTCCGTAGGTGTGAATGTGAGTGTGAATGGTTATCTGTCTCTATGTGTCAGCCCTGTGATGATCTGGTGACCTGTCCAGGGTGAACCCTGCCTCTCACCCAACGTCAGCTGGGTTAGGCTCCAAATCTGGTAAAGGATTGTATTTGATCTCACATGATATGACTGGTGACATTTTAATTTAGAATTGCTGTGCTGCACCTTTTCGTAGAGTTTTCTAAGTTTTTGACGCAGTTGACCTCTCTGTTTTCTTACCGCAGCTGGTTAACATAGGGCTGTCCTCAAAAACTGATCAGTGGTTTAAAAACTACTCAAGCAAGGGAACGCAAAGTGTCCAAGTTGGTGGTGTATTTTCTTGCTTTTTGAAAATACAAAATGGTGTCCTGCCAGGCTCTCTACTGAGACCTATTTTATTAGCAATTTTATCAATTCAAAATTTCATTTCCATGTGTGTGACATCATTATTTGTGACTCATCTTTAGCCTGTGTGACTGAGAAACTGCAATCTGCTTTTATTGTTGTTCAGAGGAGTCTTTGTGAGACTTGTACTGAATCCTGACAAAACCAACATGATGTGCTCCCTTAGGTCGAAGAAGACGGCTGAAGGATTCACACAGAAAAGGGGGAGCAGAGAGAGAGAGAGGTTTGGCAGGGCAGTGGATGTCCCCTCCAATTACTTGGAACTCGGGATGTGCACTTGCAGGCAGGTAAATTGTCTCAGCCTCAGACTCAACCTGTCAGATAGGTAACAGTGTTTCCTGAGAAATGCACTATTGCCTGAAGTGAACTGCAAACCACTGTTTTGGGGTGGACCTTAACTATTGTGCTTTTTGTGTTAAGCCGTGCATTTTTGCTGCACCTTTGGGGCTGCAACAAGAGAAGAATGCAATTTCTGAAGAAATTTGGGGTGTGAATGCTGAAATGTAAGTAATGGAGTAGTTGGAAAAGTGGGAATAGGTTTAACAGGTATGAATGTCATTGAAAAGCTGAATAATACCCATAGTAAAAAAAAGATCTAAGTCCTGTGTCTGTATGTGTGTGTGTATGCAGGGGCGTAGCACCAAATTCTGGGCCCTATGCATAGGCGGAGTCTGTGGACCCCCCAAACCCCCCACTCCTCCCAATCCATGACTCA